TTGGTTGTGGGCACATCCCCAGTGGGGAGTGTGCAGGAGGCAGCTGATCGATGTTTCTAACTCTCTATCCCTCTCCCTTCCTCTCTGTAAAAAATCAATAAAATATATGTTTTTAAAAAAACAAAAAACAAACTCATTGTGCCCTTGACCGGAATCAAACCCAGGACCCTCCAGTCTGCAGGCTGACGCTCTATCCAGTGAGCCAAACCAGCTAGGGCTATTCTTTATTCTTTAAGTCACTTCCATGGTCACATCTAGTTTATTACTACTACTGCCACATTCAGAAAAGGTGTGCCTTTTCCCGACAAAACTCTTACAACTCAATAATAAAATGACAACCCAAAGGATCTGATCATACGTTGGTCAAAGAAGATATACAAATGGTCAATAAGCACATGAAAAGATGCTCAACATCATCAGCCATTAGGGATATAAAAAATCAAAACCCTAATAAGATACAATTTCACATCCACAAGGTTGTGAAATAAATGAAATAGATAAGTGCTGGCAAGGATGTACAGAAACTGGAAATTTCTGTTGGTGAAAACAGCCACTCTGGAAAACAATCTGGCAGTTATTCAAAAGGCCAGAGAATTACCATATGACCCAGCAATTCCATTCCATACAAGAGAAATGAATATCGATGTAAGAGAAACACACTGATTGGTTGCCTCCTGTCGTGCCCCGACCAGGCCCTGGACTGGGGAGGAGTGAGCAACTGAGGTACATGCCTTTGACCAAAATCGAAGCGGGGACCTTTGGTCCACAGGCTGATGCTTTATCCATTGAGCCAAACCGGCTAGGGCTCCTTTTATTTTTTACATGAGAATGTCAATAGGATTTCAGGCATCGTGGTGCAAACATGGTGTTCAGTTACCATCTTAAACTGGAATCTCCCTATCTAAATCTTAAATAAAGAGTTCACACACTTTCTTAGAACCCGAGCTCTTTGAAACACCAACACCCCCTTTCTAAATTACACCAAATTTCACCACAGGATGTGGAATACGTAGGAAGCATTCCTTACCAAATAAAACCAAATTGAGAAAGAAAAAACAAAAACAAAAACTACTAATATAGTATACTTTGAAAAGCATGTTACATTTTACTAATAATTTCATTTCAAGTATTCAAAAAAATTGTGCCCAAAGAATAAAAGGAAAAGTATCTATGCTCTGGCCGGGTAGCTCAGTTGGTTGGAGCATGGTCCCGATACACGAAGGTTGTGGGTTCCATCCCTGATCAGGGCACATGCAAGAGTCAACCAATGAAGGCATCAGTGAGTGGAATAACAGGTTGATGTTTGTCGCTCCTTCCCTTCCTATCTTTCTCTAAAATTAATAAATAAAAAAAGAAAAAGTTATTTATCTTTTTAGGCACTTAACTGGAATCCATAACCACTATCTTTTTATAATTTCCAATAATTTATTTTTATTTTAAAAAGTAATATAAAACTAAAATTTGTAGTATAAAACAGTATACGCCAGGATAATTTTATTATATCTAATAAAAACTTTACTTCTCATTAAAATGAGTCAACCAGAACATTCACATCAACAAGATAATTTAGTAAACTGATAAAATAATTTAGAAAAAACACACACTCATGTTCCTGTAAGTATGCATCCATTGTGCATGTGTTGGGGGTGGGGATGGGGATTTGAGATGGGAACTAAATGTTTATTCCTTATGGACCTTCTCTCCCTCCTGGTGTATGTCATCTAGGCCTGACCATTTACATGCGGATGCACTACTTATAAAATAGACTTAATGATATTAATCATTTGATAACTAATAAACTTTTTGAACTTCGTTGGTCTAAAACAAAATTCAATCCCTCCCCAAACCTACTCCTAGCAACAATAAATGTAAATGGCATCAATATTCACCCAGCTGTTCGTGCAAAACAACCAAGAGCCATCCTTTATTGCCCCCTTTCCTTCATTCAATCTATCAATAAATCCTGTTGGTTCTACCTCCAAAATTAATTCATTTTTTCCCCATCTCCACTGCCAAGCCACAGCCCCTGCATTAGCTTTGAACTGATTTCCCAGCTTCTGTTCAGGTCTCCTTAGAATCCATTTCCTGCTCAGCAGCCAGTGTAAATTAGCATGTCATTTCCCTTCTTAAAATAAAAACAAATTCCTTACTGAGACCTATAAGGCCTTTCATGATCTGACCCCTGCCTACTTCTTCACCCTCATCTCATATCACTTTGCCTTTCTTACTATCTCCAAGCCACTCTGCTTCCCCAAATACTCCAGCCTGGTTCCTCATTTAGCTCTGCATTTGCCATTCATTCTGCCCTGAATCCCTGGCTCCCCACCACGACTAGGCTAGCTACATGCCTGACTTCTTTGCATTCAAATGTTACCTCCTTAGAGAGGCCTGCTCTAAGACAGCCACCATCCTGCCAATAATCCACAAAGCCCCTTCTTATTTTTTTTCATGCCACCTATCACAGTCTAAAATGATATCTGTTTATTGAACACCCCCATATCAACTCTTTAAGGGCAGAGACTTCTCTCTTGTTTATTATTCTCTCCAATGCCTAGAACACAGCAATACTTAAGAGATCTTCAACATATTTGTTGCATGAACAAATCCATAAACATTACTGAAGTACTAGTACAAATGTTCACTATACAGATTTTGATTATTATTAGTGTATTAGAGAGTTTAAATTATATTGGTTTATTATAAATAAACATTTTAACTGAATTCCAACAGAAAAAAGATATTAAGAACTTTCCTCCCCCAGTAGAAGTCCTGAAGCAAAAGCAGACCTATTTGGGAAAGAAATTCAGGAGACACCATCAGATTCTGTCCAAAGATAAAAAGAGAAAGTGAACAAACATCTTCCAGGATCAAAACCCCAGGCAAGACCAGAAAGAGGGTTTTCATAGCTCCTTCTGCAAGCTCTGTGCAAAGAACTCCAGTGGATGAGAATACAGGGAAAAACTAAAGAGAATATCTCAATGGATCCTTCACCCACCAAACAAGATTTCTTCAGAAACTGACTTGCTTCTGCAAATGGCCTTAACCAAGAAAAACAGTTGTGTAAAACAGACCTAAAATTGTACTGTCAAGTAATAAGATGAGGATAGGAAGCTTGTATAGCCCAGCCGGCGTGGCTCAGTGGTTGAGCATCAAACCCGGAGGTCACGGGGTTTGATTCCTGGTCAGGGCACATGCCCGGGTTGCAGGCTTGATCCCCAGTGTGGGGCATGTGGGGGGCGGCCAATCAATGATTCTCTCTCATCACTGATGTTTCTATCTCTCTCTCTCCCTCTCCTTTCCTCTCTGAGATCAATAAAAATATATTTTGAAAAAAGAAGCTTGTATATATCTACATATATTGATGTATAAATCTCTGAGGAAAACCAATATACTAGTAAATATTTACATATCATACTAAATCAACATATGAGACATGGAGAGATAAAGATTAGTCTATGGTTGAGAGGTGGCTTTTTTAACCTAAACACTTGGGAGGAGGGAAACAAAAACTTTTCACAGCGTTATAGAAAAATACAATAAATCTGGAGGAAAATAAACATTTGTAAGAACAACAATAAAAACCACATGCAGTAATGTTTGTGGTTATATTTAAAAATAAAAGAGAATAATAGCACAACCCTCACCCCCCAAAAAGCCACTGAACCCAGATGCAGAAAAGGAAAGTTGAATCAGTGGTTACACCCACAAATTTAATCTGGCACTTTTAATGTGATCTTTAGAGATCTTTTTCTTATGAAGGAGAAAATGAAGGGAATCTTATTGTTTATATACTGTTTGTAGTACACAGGTGCCACCAATCGTAACTAACGACAACCCCTATTTTAAGGCCTTAAACATTGCTAAATACATCTTTAAGAACTTACACTGCTACCCTTTCCTAGGATAAACACAAAGACCAATATGAGTTGGAAAGAGGAATTTCCATTAGAGAGAAAAGAACGTTTTGCTATATATTTCTATATGACACAGCAATTCCTCAAACATGATTTTGTGTTCAAAACAGTTAAGAACCAAGAAGCAAGCAACAAAGGCCACCAAGGAACTACAGCAGAGCCAGTGTCAATGCAAGAAAACACACTTTTAAAATATACAGCCCGAGGTCCTCACTCAGAGCCTATTCACTTTTATTTTAGACTGAATTCTAACACAACTGGCCACCTAGTTGCCCAGCAAGTCAGAGATAACAAACTAGAAAGTGGAAAAGACAGAAAACTATTATATTGAGAACAGATGACCTAACAGGACAAAGGAGACGGAAATACCATTGAAAAGGGAAATTACAAAATCCTAGAACCAAAATTTAAAAAGCATAACTGGCAAGGTTTTATTTAAAATTGTAACAATCTTACAGAATTCAACTCTATGCATCCTACTTTAACAGTGCAACATTAATATTGTACCTTGTGTAGTGACTTGCATGGAATATTGAACTTAAGCTCAAATAATGACCATAAAGTGAGTTTTTAATCCTGGAGTTTCTCACTTGGTAGGCGGGCATCTGTATTTTTCAACAAACCACAGGAAATTCTGAGGCACACCGAGAACTGAGAACCACTGTCCTAACAGTCTAAAGAAAGGTTACATTATACTCGATGTATTATTTAGAGGAAGAAGTAAGAATTTACTATGATCTTTAAATGTGTTCAGTCAAACCTGTTTTTAAAATATTTGGGCATGTTGAGGTCAGGTGTAGTGTTCACCTTGGTCGAACACTGCATTTCCCAAAAGGAGGGAGGGAGCTAAATGACGTATTACCAATAGCCAATCTATTCACCTTTGAAACCATAAAAATAAAAATATAATACTAAATTTATGTAACGACAAGTGAAGAAAATACTCAGTGTGGTACAGAACCATGGTAGAAACTCAATCAAGTTAAAGTTGTGTGGATAAACACATCTCACTAACTTAAGCTAGAGTCTGGGTACCAAACCTCTTTATGTAGTAGCATCTCCCAAACAAGATACACTCATACTCACCTTTCTGAAAAATCAGAGTCTATAAATTCTCTAGCCCGTTTTCTATCACTAAAAAGAAAAGAAAAAAAAGGCATAAAAAGAACATATAAACACTACTTTATTTCATGAATAATTTACTGTAACTTGTCTAATGCCACTATATAGCTAAACATAAAAACTAATATAAAAGGTATGTCCATAAAATAAAAACTTAAATTTTATGAAAGGACCAAGAAATCACAATAGGATAACCTAGTTTGAAATGAGTTCAATGAATCTTTAAGGAGGAAAACACTGCAGGTTCACAAAAGAAAAGGCACAGAGAAGTTTGATTTACTCTGGAATGACCGACTATAAAGACACGACAGTCATACCACCTCCAACATAAAGCACAGCTGGGGCTGGAACTATCCAAACCCTGGTCATCTCCAAACCCCTGGTATAGGCACGAGCTCATGTTATAATCTCTCAGGGCTGTGCAGAAATCCAAGGTAACTTTTGGATCTACATGAGAATGCTCACAAGGACTGAATAAAGGCCATGGAATTACAGGTGACTGTCATGTCATCTCATTTGATAATGGAAAAGTATGACCACATATGAAACTCTTCTATCTCTAATATATGTGTGCGTAGGTGTTTGAATATGACTTAAAACACTTTGCCAGGACTATTTCATTAATTCATTTAATATTCTTTTTAAAAATATGTTTTTTTATTGATTTCAGAGCGAGAGAGAGAGATAGAAACATCAATGATTAGAGAGAATCACTGATCAACTGCCTCCTGCAGGCCCCCCCACTGGGGATGGAGCCCAAACCCAGGCATGTGCCCAGACTGGGAATCGAACCGTGACCTCCTGGTTCATAGGTTGAAGCTTCAACCACTGAGCCACGGTTGCCAAGCTCATTTAATATTTTTGAAGGGAGGAAATTCTTACTCAACCAAGATTTATTGCCTGTTTGCTAGAACTCACAGTTGTAAGTCAAAGATGGAACTACCCATGCAGTATTTAAATAACAATTTAAATAACTTCTAAAGTAACAGAATAAAGTTTTGAGTCATTAATTTTACTATTTCCTTTTATTTTATGGAAAGATGAGATGTTAAAATGATAAGCAAAGGAGAGAGGTTGGGTAAGGGTATTTTGCAGACAAAGATGAAACATGTGAAGGTTTGGTACTAAAAGTGGCAACTGAATAACATAGAATTTGGCCTCTTTTCCCTAGTTCCTTTTCTGATTTTTTTTAAGGAAACAAGAATTCATAGAGGAAATTCTCAGTATCACCAACACTTAAAATATATTTTGTTAAAACAATATAAAATATAGTTTTGACATCTCCAAAGCAGCTAAATGCCATAATAATAAAAAATAGTTCTCTTTCAGAGTTGAAAAAAAGTAAAAAGATTCAGGTACAAGTTATTATTATAATGTTTTTCTCTGTTTTAAAATGGTTGTTCCATAAATGGCTTATATCTAAGACATGAAATCATATAAACTGGTAATTTTAAAGGAAACGTATTAGTTTTTAAGGACTAGACTAACATAACACAAGAACAGAAGACAAGATCCTAAGAAAAAAATGTCAGAACTTTTTAAATTTTATTTTTAAAATGGTAACTTGTAACAACACTCTTACCCTGGAACCCAGCCAGTAGCTTCTGCTATGTGTGTCTGAGTGACCATTGCTGGTGCTGGGGTGTATGGACTCCCAATCAGAACACTTCCTGAACTGGTCAGTCTCTGTGGTGTGCTTATAATCTGTGAAGTTAGAACAAAGAAGATAATATCCTTAGTTATTATGAAAAGCCTACAGGCACAAAATAATGTTGATTGCTAACCTTATTAGGAGGAAACCTTATTGTCTAAAATGCTTAATCATCTAAAACATAAGCAGTACCTCTGATTCATTTATATCCTAGGATCGTATACTGACATGAGGTCATAATGCAGGTTTCAGCAAGTGAAGAGCAATTTGGAAGGATTAGCTGGCAACTGACAATGTTTTAAAAATCAGAAAAATGAAAAGCTTTCTTTGCAATTACAGAACCTAATTCCAGTCAAGCTTGATTTACTAGAACTGGGTAACAGTAAATCAGATCTTCACAATCCAAAATATAGGCAAAAGCATTACACAATTTGGATTATTATACAGATGCAACTTTATCTTTTTCTCTTTTTTTTCAAGAGCATGTTCTCATGTCATTAAATATTCTTTAATGACATATTCTTTAAATATGTCAGTAAAACATTCCATCATGTAAATATATTATTCCCTATTAGATATATGGATATTCAATTATTCACTACTATAAACAATGCTGTGATAAACATTTTTGTACAATGATCTTGGCCTTAATTTCTGTTTCCTAAGGATAGACTTCAGGAAAGGAATTAATGGAACTAAAGATACGGACTTTTTGTTTACTGCTTTTGTTTTTTTTGTTTTTTTAAATTCTCACCCAAGGATATTTTTCCATTGATTTTTAGAAAGAGTGGAAGAGAGAGGGAAAGACAGGAGAAGCATATCAATTGGTTGCCACCTGCACAAGCCCCGACCAGGGGAGGTGCCTGCAACTGAGGTACATGCCCTTGAACGGAATCAAACCCAGGACCCTTTGGTCTGCTTTATCCACGGAGCCAAACTGGCTAGGGTGTTTATTGCTTTTTAGAAACATGTTTTTATTGATTTTAGAGAAAGAGGAAGGGAGAGGAGAGAGAGAGAAACATTGTTGTGAGAGAGAAATATCGATTGGTTGCCTCCACATGACTGGGGACTGAACTTGCAACCTGGGCATGTGCCCTAACCGGGAATTGAACCAGAAATCTTTCGGTGCATGGGCCAATGCTCAACCAACTGAGTCACACAGGCCTGGGCAGAATATGGACTTTTTAAAAAAGTCCCTTGGGCCCTGGCCAGTGTGGCTCAGTTGGTTGGAGTTTCATCCCATACACTGCAAGGTCACAGGTTCGATTCCCGGTCAGGGCAGACACTCAGGTTGCAGGTTTGATCCTGGTCAGGATTCATATTGGAGACAACTGATTGATGTTTCTCTCTCACATTAATGTTCCTCACTCACTTTCTCCTTACCCCTTCCTCTCTCTTTAAAATCAATTTAAAAATAAATAAATAAACACAAAAGACAATAAACAAGGATAAGATGTCTAGAGAATTCTGATTCTCTACAATAAGCCAAGGATGATCAAACAGGGCATTCAGAAGTTTGCCTTGTGTGAAAATATGAAAACTAGACAATGTGTTTGGACCTCCTACCCCTCCATGCATCCCATCCCACCTCCACACCTCCATTTCAGTGCAAGATCTTCAAGGGCAGAGAGAATGTTTGCAGGGCCTAGCACAGTGCTCACAGGAAAGTGCAATAAATACTTACTGAACTGAGAGAAAAGACCCAGCTTTTAAAATGATAAAAAAAAAAGTAGCTTCTTTATTCACTGATATACTACAAAGGATTATATAAAAATCCAATAAGAAAAATACAATATAAAAGACAGTTTTCTCCAATCACTACATCACACATACAAATGTCCTTTATCATATTGTCATTGAGTGTGACAGCTTAAGGAGCAAAATTTGAGTATTTGATCAGTCTCGTCTACTCTTTCAAGAACAGGGGTGTCCAAAAAGCAATTCTATGTGTTCCAACCTACCCTTGAAACAGACTGCATTACTTGTGCAGTTTTATTACTAAGGAGTTCTTTCTCTATATCTGTTATTAGTAGCCTACATGCTCGGTTTTATCTGATTTAAAGGGCTTTGTAGAAAGAAAAAGAAAGAAGGAAGGGAAACAAGCATAGGGAAACATGGTTATCATTACTGAGAATGACTTTGGAAATGAACTGCTATGTTCTAGTTTATTTTTTCTTCCTTTTTGTCAGATTGTCAGATATTTTCTTCTGATCTGAAAGTAAGTAGCAATACTCTGCTCCCTTCTCTTAGCAAAGGGCCTGATACACTGTAAGTCCTTAATAAACATTTCCTGAATGAATAAATTGGAGATGAAGGACTTGAACTGGAAAGACAAGTTAGAAGTTCATGTGAGATGCAATGAGTTCTTAAACTAGGACAGTGAGTCTTAAGAAACAAAACCAAAGGAAAGTCAACAGAACTAATCAACCATTAAACATAGGAAAACTATGTAGGTGATGAGTCAGACACACTTTATAAAACTGAACCTTAATTTTTAAATCCAAAATTAAAATGAAAGATAATTAGAGGTAACTACTTCTGATATTCAGTTGATCTGATAAGGAAAATGAATAAATTTCACCCCCCCCCCCAAAAAAAAACAGAGACGACCTTAATTTAAATGTAATCGTGGTTTCTTTTGACAACAGATTACAGTTATGCAATGAAAATCATACAGCAATTAAACCTCATTCTAGAGATTTTCCACCTCCAATCAATATATCTTATGTACTACTGCCATCTACAGTTAAGAAAGGCCAAGGGAACATCTATTTTGAAGGGGGGAAAAAACTATATAATTATAAAATGTTATGTTAAATAATTCCATTTTTGTTGTTGTTAATCCTCACCCAAGGATATTTTTCCATTGACTTTTAGAGAGTGGAAGGGAGGGGGAGAGACAGAGAGAGAGAAACATCAATGTGAGAGATTCATCGATTGGTTGCCTCATGCACGCCCCCCAACCTGGGCTGGGGATGGAGCCTACAAACAAAGTATGTGTCCTTGAACAGAATCGAACTCGTGAACTGAACCTTCAGTCTGCAGGTTGTCACTCTATCCACTGAGCTAAACCGGCCAGGACAAGGATTCCATTATTTGACAAAATATTAGTTTTCAATATAAGAAACATGCAGTTTTAACCACATTAAAATAATCATGAGAGTATCATATATATAAGCAGAAACCTTTAGGAAAAGGGAAAGTATCCCAAAATAAAAGTTACTGCTAGTTTCTATAAATACTGAACAAAAATTTTTTTCTCAGGGCCTTTTGAAATTTCTACCTACCATTAAGATTTGGCTTCCATGAAATTTAAATTTTCTGTAAGAAGAAATTAGGTTTTATTCACTAATTCCTAACTAAACAAATATATTTTAAAAATCATGAATGAAAAATTGAAGGTGAAAGGACAATGTTCAAGAGAAGCAAGCAAGAGGAGAAGAAAGAAATGGCTCTAATTGGGGTTCTACATCAATTAGGAAATCAAAACAAAAACTCTGATTCTGGTCCAAGTCCTAAGAACTGCAAAAAGCCCCCGAGAATTAGGGAGACAAATAAAGGCCTTGGGCTGGCCTGGTTTAAAGCAGAGCCCCAGATCTCCTCTCCTTCGGACCTTTGTTTGCTGATTCTGCAGTAACTGGGTCAGTAGCATGTATACCTGATTGCTTACTGTCAGAACCAAAGTGTATAAAGACTGTCATGTTCATTATACAAACTAACAATGGAAAGAGAAATTACATGTCTCCAAGAGAGAAACCTGAACTTGAGCCATAGCAGCATCACTAAAATACTAATAGAAAATAGCATCTCAAAACCAGAGGATTTCTGTAAGGGGAAAACAACATGCCATTGACTTTTATGGCAAACACATAAGAGTTCTGGTATGTTTGTTTAATTTTGGTGCTTATATTATCACATTTCAAAATACAGACTTTAAAGGCAGGTGTCTTATCTCACTTGTACCTACTGTAGTGGCTGGTGAGGGGCAAATGCTTAGCAAATGTTGGAAAATATACCCTGAACTACCTTGAATTGGGAACACTTACCTGAGCTCAAGTCTCTATGAAGTTTGTAGCTAGATCACATTCTTCACATAGTTATAGTAAATTGTGTAAGATCTTTGGCTTGGATTCTGTAGATAATTAACAGTCCTCAAGCGATCAGGAAAAATGTCATGTCTAGAATGTCTTAAAAATTGTAAAGACTTTCTGGAGCCATTAAGTATGTTAAAAGTTATTTTTGTCTAAACAAGCCATTTAAATTAGGTATAGTTTTTAAAAATATGTTTTCATTGATTTTAGAGAAAGAGAAAGGGAGAGCGAGAGAGAGACATTGATTGGCTGCCTCCTGCATGTCCCTCCTGCTGGGGATTGAGCCCACAACCTGGGCTTGTACCTTGACCAGGAATCAAACTGGTGACCTTTTGGTACCCGGGACAACACCAAACCAACTGAGTCACACTGGCCAGGGCAAATTTGGTATAGTTTTTAGAGTAGTAGGGTATGAGACTTTGTTTATAAATAAGGCTTTTTAAAAGTGCTATCTAGCCCTAGCCGGTTTGGCACAGTGGATGGAGCGTCAGCCTGCGGACTGAAAGGTCCCGGGTTCGATTCCAGTCAAGGGCACATGCCCCAATTGTGGTCTCCATCCCCAGTAGGGGGCATGCAGGAGGCAGCCTATCAACGATTCTCTCTCATCATTGATGTTTCTATCTCTCTCTCCCTCTCCATTCCTCTCTGAAATAAATAGAAATATACTTTTTTTAAAAAGTGCTATCTACTTCAAGCTCTAACATCATTAATAAACTACTTACAGAGAAAGTTAAACATTTTTCATCCATTATTTCTGTTAAAAATTTAAATGAATTGGCATGTTGTTTCCCCCCCAAATGTCCTTTAATCAAAGATTTCAAATTAATAGCTCCAGATAGAAATTAACTAATGGGTCACGTTCAATTTATATGAGTACATAGTTTAGGGTGGTAGAGATTATAAGAAATAATGGGAGGAGAACATAAAACATAACCGATTTTAAATCAATTTAACCAATGAGAAGCAAGAAAAGCCTCACACACAGAGCAAATCTTATTACACATCTAGAATCCAGAGTCAAATGTATGAAAATTAGACATTGAAGAGTGCCTTTCTTTTTCTCAAGATTTAATCAGTTACATTCAGATAAAAATGAAACTTTAAAAAGTGACTAAGAAATTAACTAGAATATGTGACCATCCATAGTTAGTAAATTTTCAAGTTCTAAGATTTGATGGTTTTCTTACCATTTGGGGTCCAACATTCACATTTATTGGTCCTAGGGTTTTTGGTAAAATCTTTGTTGGTGAGTTGGTGCTGGAAACTGGAAAAGCAACCAATGAAATGTTACCTGAAATCATATCAAAACACCGGGTTAGTGTTCTGCAATATTAAGGCCACCTTCTAACCCCATGGTCCTAATCCCAGTTTTGATTAAGTAATTTATAATTTAAATTATAAACAAGAAGGCTTACTTGCTTTGTTGTAGTGAATACAATTAGTTCTGCTGAATAGGAAATCTGTAAAATTAACAGTTCAGTCTATCTGCCAATTAACTACTGGATGTTTAGTTGGTTTTATGGAGGAAAAAATATTTAGAGAATATATAATGCAAAGCATCTACACTAATAAAAGAGAAACATGGTAATTAGCGTACGACCGCTACCCTTCCCATTGGCTAATCAGCATATCCTTATGCAAATTAACTGTCAGCCAAGATGGCGGCCAGCAGCCAGGCAGCTGGAAGCGAACATGAGGCTTGCTTGCTCCAGTGACTGCAGACTCCAACGTTCCCCGCCTCACTTGCCAGCCTCTGAGCTGACAGTTTGAAACATTCTAACAAATATAGAAGCTAAACAAAACCCCAGAAACCAGCTTTCAGCCTGCCGGGATCTCAGAGCTGAAGTTATACATTGTTTCGATTATAGAACGGCAAACAAACCAGATACGAAGCCTCAGAGCTAGAGCCAGAGCTAAAGCTGGCCCAGAATAAAATAAAAAAAAGAAAAAAAGGGAGCGATTGGAGGCTTCAGTCAACCACCGCCAGCCTGAAAGCAGCCCTCAGCCCCTCACCCAGACTGGCCAGACACCCCAGTGGGGACCCCCACCCTGAAGAGTGTGTGACCAGCTGCAAACAGCC